AACACAATTGCAGGTGGTTTTGCAGGGGGAGGTGCCACCAGCTCGGCCTGGAAAAGACACCTACGTAACATCAACATTGTCCATTCCGCTACCGCAGCTTCACACCAAAGTTCACCACCGATCACCTTCACCAACAACGACTATGCCGGCATCAGTCCCAACCAGGATGATCCCATGGTCATAACCGTGGAGCTGGCAAATTAGGAGGTGCACAAGACACTCATAGACCAGGGAAGCTCGGCAGATGTCCTGTATTGGTCGACCTTCCTCAGGTTAGACATCCCCCACTCCCTCATCCAACCTCACACAGAACCCCTAGTCGGTTTTGCAGGAGAACGAGTTCACACTCGGGGATACGTGGACCTGCTGACCACTTTCGGAATATCCCCGAACACAAGGAGAATTATGGTTCGATACCTCCTTGTGGAGGCCAACACCTCCTACAACATCATTATTGGGAGACCTACGTTAAATCAACTTGGAGCAGTAGTGTCCACCCCACATCTCACTATGAAGTTCCCGGGGAGTGACGGTAAAATCATCTCTGTCAAAGCAAATCAGAAAACAGCTCGGCAGTGCTACGCCGAGAGTCTGAAGATCTCTTCAACCGGCGAACCAGGCAAGAAGGATCCTCCTATTGTGGCTCACATCACCCACGGGGAGATCACCAATGACCCGAGATCCGACTCTCATGATGAGAGACCAAGCCCCATTAACGAGCTTGACGACCTCCAGATCGGACAACTTCCTGGGCAATGCACAAAGATCAGCAGGCAGTTGAACCCGAACTTGCGGCAACAGCTCGAAGCAGAGATCATTCAGAATGCAGACCTTTTTTCTTGGTCCAGCGCTGACATGCCAGGCATCGACGCCAATTTCGTATGTCACAGGTTAGCAATTCACAAGGAGGCAAAGCCAGTCTCCCAGAGGAAGAGGAAGGTCGGCGGCGAAAGGCGGGAGGCCATCGTCTCCGAGACACAGAAACTGCTGAACGCTAGCTTCATCCGTGAGGTCAGATACACCACATGGCTGGCGAATGTGGTCCTGGTGAAGAAGAACTCGGGGAAGTGGCGCATGTGCGTCGACTACACCGACTTGAACAAAGCATGCCCCAAGGACTCATACCCATTGCCGAGCATTGACAGGTTGGTCGACGGAGCATCAGGGCACGCCCTCCTCATTTTCCTCGATGCCTACTCTAGGTACAACCAGATAATGATGTACCCACCTGACGAAGTACACACGTCCTTCATCACCGACCACGCCAACTATTGCTACCGGGTGATGCCTTTCGGTCTCAAAAACGCAAGTGCGACCTACCAGCGGTTGATGGATAAGGTTTTCCACCACCAGATCGGACAGAACATGGAGGTCTACGTCGCGGTCTCCCAGCCCCGGACTGCGACTAGGGCACCGACTCCACGACCTGCCCCGCATCGGTCTCATGTTCCGACGAACAAGTCGGTCCATGAAGTCAGCAAAGCCCCATCTCATGTCACAAGGGGTCAAGCAACCTTCCGCCGTCATCCCTTTGTGGACGGTATCATGGAGACACCACTCCCTCAAGGGTGGAAGCCTCTCCACCTCGATCGCTATGATGGCACAACGGACCCCGATGAGCACATCGACCTGTATACGACACAGGTGAACCTCTACACTAACAATGATGTTGTTTTATGTAGGGTTTTTCTGACCTCGCTCAAGGGGGTCGCACTCAACTGGTACACCCAGCTTCTCGCTGAGTCGATCGACAGCTTCGGCACTCTCGTCAGGCGGTTCACAGCACAATACGCAACGAGCCGACCTCACCACATCACCTCTGCCACCATGGCCGGTCTCAGACAGAGCGACGACGAGCCACCCCGGGCATTCATGGAGCGATTTGCCACAATCTCGGTCAAGATCAGAAATCTGAATCCCAAAGTCACCCTACATGTCATGCTCATGGCACTCAAGCCCGGGCCATTCGTCGACAAAAAATATAAATTAAAAATAAGATTTTCGACGGAAAATTTCTGACGGATTTATTTTTCCGTCGGAAATTTCCGATGAAATTTTACGTCAGAAAGTTTCTGTCGGAAATTTCTGACAGATTTATTTTCGTCGGAAATTTCTGACGGAAATATAAATCCGTCAGAAATTTCCGACGGATCCATATCCGTAAAAAATTTTCTGTCGGAAATTTACATTTTTCTTGTAGTGACTATTATTTTCTCATATTTGTTTATTGCCACGTCACTAAAAGCACTAAAAATCAGGAAAGCCCACTTATGATAATCTTAAGTCCCTTCGTTCTTACATGAATTCGGGACTTAGAGGCTTATGTACTAACTCGGACGAATAAGCTTGACTAATCCAATCTTGGGAGATTACCTAATTCAACCTAGTAAGTTAGCATGATCAAAATTACGTAGATTTAGATAGGTCAATACAAGCAAAATGACAAACATTACAATACAAGAAAAAATTAAGTAAATAGGAGCGGTTACTTGAATTAAAGGAATAGTTGAATAATTAATAAGGATCAATGTATTTATATTAATAAAATATGACAAATGAAACAATTTAGACTAATTTGATCATTGACCACTAGGGTTTGCCTAGTGGTTGGGTGGGGCAGGGTTAGAGTAGTTAGAAGCATGATGACCTAAGTTCAATCCTCATTGCGATCATTTTTGTAACTTTCCTATCTTTATAAAAAAAAAAAGACTAATTTGATCGTTAGAGTTCCTTTTATAGACATTTTTTCCATTACAAACAACTCAAAAGAAACCAAGATCGGAGAAAACATCGAACGTAAAACTTCTACTAAGAGATATCAAAATTTTTGACATCCAATCTTATTATATTTCGGTTAGAATAGCTATGTTTGCCATATGAGTTTTTTTTGTCTTATCTTTCAAGCCATTTGCTCTTGTACCATGGCTATTTCTGAAAGCTCCTATTCTCTGTTCAGGTGTCATTTTTTGTCAGTAAGTATGTGTAAGTTGGCTAAGTGTAGCTTTAGTTGGGAGAATAACGCAATTCGGATTTCAACTCTGACCCAACAACATAGACGACTTGATAATTTGATATTATATATAGGAAATTAAATTATAAATTAATTTGGTTGTGGTGTTTTTTCTTTTTCAAAATCTTCGGTGTTTGCGAACGACAATATGAGTAGTCAGTTATCACAGTCGTTTTCCAATTTCCACCATAATAATTACTAATACTGGAACATATTGAACAAAGAAATTGGATAATAAATTGTTGACTATGTACCCATATTGGACTTCCACTGTTGCCCCCACAAATCAGGCACTCTTCATATTGGTTAGCAGTACTGTTAATTAACAAAATTTTGCTCTGACCGGTCGATTTGTATGAATAAGAGGTACCTTTCATCGATTTTCCTATTAACATTGTAATGAATACCTGGAATAATAGTGGAATAATATTAATTAGCACCGAGTACTGTTCACACATATATGATATATCGCAAGTTTGATCTCGCAGATAGCTCTCATGCTTCGGAAATAAATATGTGTTTAGTGGAGGTGACGATGAGTGAAAGTGAGGTTATTATTTTCTTCGTTTGGTAAGGGAAAAGAAGGGACGAAAGTTTTGAAATCAGTGAGTCTCCCCTCGTAAAATTTTCACACCTGTTACAATTTTCACTACCGAATAAAAAAAGGAAGTGCATGGAAATAACTTCTATTTTATTTTTTTCTCAAAATTTCAAGCAATCTATTACAACGCAATTGATTACGTTACATTTGTAAAAAACAATGATTTTGTTGCGAGACATTCAATTATGTTTTTATTTTTGATTATCAATTATATATGGTAAGATAAGTTTAGCGGTGAAGATTTAGATAGTTTGTGTAACATGATACGTGTAAACTTTGTGTAAACAAAATAAAAATAAAAAGTAAAAACACATCATTAAAATCATCAATAATATATAAGGGTTGTACGTTGACCCACAATTTTGATCCATTTTTAATTTATTATAAGCGTTTTAATCCATGAATTGCACGGATCAAATCTAATATGTAAAATTTATGATTATAATTAATTATCATAAAAATTATAATTGATATTCATATCATATAATTTAATGTTTAATATTTTACTTAATTTTATATCAGTGATAAATAAATTCTAATTCTTTATTGGATAAATATATTATTCTCTTAAAACCTTATTCATTTCTTCTAATCATGAATGGTATGCTGCAGAACAACTGTTTTTTTTTTTTTTTTTTTTTATACCTTCATATTATCATTACCTTTTACAACTAATTTTTCCGGCGGTAAAATTTGTATATCTTATAGATATGTGTTTTTATATGTAAGATGGAAGGGCAGATCAAGAGCGGAGGATAGATTATGACAGATATTATTCAGTTTTGCATGAGTTGAAAGCTTAAATATGCGTCTTTGTACCTTTTATATATCTTCTTTTTCATTTGATGTAAAAAAAAATTATAAACAAATAGATTTTAATTGATTATTGATAAAATTATAGAATGATATTTTTACTTATGCCTTGAAACCATAAAAATAAACTTGAATTTAAATATATATTTTTGATGTAACTTCCAACCTAGTTAAAAAAAAAGACTTAATTTTGCTCATAATAATGATTTGAATTTATAACATAATTTAAAATTATTTAATGCGATATTAATTATTTTAACTAATTTATCATTTTCATAAAATAAAATATTTCGTTTATTTTTTTCTATACTATTGCCAACTTTAGAGACATTATTCATTTTGTGTATAAGTAATGAAACATGGAACGACTTGTCTTTCGAATCATTCTCTGAATATTAAAATATTAATATTTTTTAATAAATTTATTATAAAATAATTATTTAATTTAATATTTTAATTATAATTTAAATTAATATTTTATATTCATTCGAAGCTGTATATTTTTCTGTGTGTATATATACAATTACACTTTTGTACTCTTCCTCCACAGAGTTAGATCAGTACTGAAGTGTATAAGTAGAGCATAGCTGCTAGTTGGATCCTGTGAAGCAGATAAAAATGGCCGGTGGGGGATTCGCTGTTGATGCACCGGCCAATGGCTTCGATGGCAAGATGACACTCTCAGTTGTCATCACTTGCATCGTTGCTGCATCCAGTGGACTCATCTTTGGATATGACGTCGGAGTTTCAGGTTTTCTTTTTTCCACTGTTGCCTATTGATTTGTTTTCTAACTAGTAATTCTTTTCTCCTTGTGTTCTCTTCTTCTTGCTTCTTATCTTCTAAACTACTATGGTAATCAACGACTAAAAAAATGCGTCAGAAATAAAAATCCAGATGCTCAGTGTGAAGTAATCAGTTTCAAAGGATCCAGTCATTGCCTTATCGAGGGCTGCAAATAGTTATCAACGGTCAGACCATTAATTCTATATTAGTGTCAAATTTCAAAGGATCTAAGTTTTACCTTAAACTTACTCGTACTTTCACTTTTTTCTTTTTCTTTTACATCAACCACGCGGAGTTATTTACTTATTTTTAACGGTTAGATATAATACATAAAATAAAATAAAATTGCATATGTCTAATGTTTAAAAATAATCTTAATTATCTGCTCATTTTAATGATATATCTAGTATCATATAACTAAGGGCTGAATTCTCCCAAAATGTTTGTGTAAATATTTTTCTCTTGTTAAAAAAGAAAGTTCGTGTTAAATAGTGATAACAAAATTACCAGGTCGGCAAGTGATGAAGGTATTGAGTTTGATTAGATTCTCTCATGTGAGTTTTTATTTGTATTATTTCTCGTAAAAATCCTTATCATTAAAATCTCATTTTTTATTATTTAATTTTTTTATCTCTTACTTTTAATTAAGGACAAAAAGTTTACCAAACAAAAATATCATAAAAGAGATTTCAATTTCAAGTTGAACTAGATGTAGAAAAAATTGAGTTTGATTGTCATTATGATCGTTGTAATATATTTTATCAATAAAAAGAATAGATATAACAATACTAAACAGTGATACCAAGTCAGAAGAAGTTCTCTTGGGCTTTGCTCGCAATTAGTTATATGAAGCTAGTTTTCTTTAAATTTCAAAGTAGAGTTTACCTTTTTTTTACAGGACTTGATCTCTAGAAATACCTTGAAAAGGAAATTTTTTTTTTTTTCAGAAGAATAATTAAACTAAACTTTTTTATATATTAAAATTAACTTATATGTATGTTAAAAATAAAATTTTTGAGAAGTTAATAAGAGAAAGCTTATTCAAATTAATTAGTTTGTATAAATTAATTTTAGTTTATGAAGAATTTTATTTGCTTTTTAAAAGTATTTTTGAAAATTTTTATTTAAACATGCTTTCCAATGGAATTGAAAAATATTCATCGAGAAAAAAAAAGAATTATGTTTAAAATTAAAATTACAATTATTAACTTCTAAAAATTATATTTAAAATGTAAAAAATCAACACGGAATTATGGGATTATACACACTGATATATGTGCGTCCACAATCTGAAGTATAGTTTAACACGTCCATTTCAGGCATGGAACCTTTGGTGTTTAATCATAATAATTGAAGCTATATATTGAAAAAAAAAAATAAAAAAAAAATAGATGGCTTATTTGTGGCCTGGTCAAGGGGTGAACTTTTTACCTACCGAAAAACAAAGACAGCTAATATCCTTGCCCTAAAAAAAGACAAACCTAATATTAAAAAAAAAAAGGGGTCTATGATGGATAGCAATTGCAAATGACAAATGGAAAATATGGCTCATGAAGTCATAAAAGCGTCTTTTTGTGTTTTGCATGTAGTAATTAGCGTCTTAGCAGGTGACGCTACTGCTGTTTGTATTCAAAGTATCAATGACAGTCAATTGTAGAGTTACATTATTTGTATACTATATATTTTCTTTATAGTACTTTTTACAATATTATTTTTTCTTCTTTATCATTATTATTTTTCTTATAACACACTTCTTTCCGTCTGTTTTATACACAAAATGTTATAATAAAAAAAAAGTATAACTAATATTTCTCTTCATTGTATTCGTGCCCAGGAAACTAATTAATTAAGAGTAGCTTAACACACCTTTTTTAATTTCCACTTACGATTTTAACAAAAGAAATATTATTTTATATAGAATTTAATGAAAATGTCATGAATTAATTTCCAGGTGGTGTGACAACGATGGTACCGTTCCTTGAGAAATTCTTCCCATCAATACTTAGAAAGGCTGCAAAAGCCGAAGTGAACATGTACTGCGTGTATGACAACCAAATGTTAACATTATTCACGTCTTCTCTCTATCTTGCTGGCTTAGTATCATCTCTGGCAGCTAGTCGAGTGACGATGGTGTTGGGTCGGAGAAACACCATCGTCTTGGGTGGTGCCGTCTTTCTTGCTGGTGGTGCCATTAACGGAGGTGCTCAAAATATTGCTATGCTCATTTTGGGTCGTATTCTTCTCGGCCTTGGAGTCGGTTTCACTAATCAAGTTAGTCTATGCAAAATGCATATATTCCTTCATACTAGAGTTACTTATAAAGTAATTTTTTATAAAATTATTTTTCATCATAATTATTATTTTATTTCATACTTCTCTTTCTTTTTCATTTAATATTTGATTGAGAGGGAAATATATTTTTTTTAGCATAATTTCTAAAACTATAACCAGGGAGTTTATACATATTCTTTTCGTTTTTTTTATAGTCGTTTTATCAGTATTTTGTTATTTTTTTTAATTATCATTTTACTAAAATCAATGATTTATTATTTTTTTTTTTTTTTATCCTTGATAATTAATTTATGTTTACTGAATAATGTGTCTATTTATTTTTAATGATTACCTATTTTTTTTTTCTAATTACTTATGTGATTAAATAGAGTAAGTTACTGTTGACATGTATATTCTAATAATTAATGCACTAATACATGAACAGATATGATTAAATGGAGTAGGTTACAGTTCAGACGTGTATTTTAATAATCAATGCATTAATTCATGGATTTCTTAAAAGATGCATAAGAATAATAAATATACACAAATCAATAATTTCAAGACTTGAATGCAAAAAAAATAAAGAGTATAACAAGAAAGTAAGTAATAAATATTTTTAAAAATTAAAATATCAATTATTTTTTTAAGTCCCGTGCAAAATTTTAACGAGTATGAAATATAATCGGTGGAAGTATTTCATTTCATAATTTTGATGAAATGTACGATGATGTTGCATTAATTTGGAACAGGCGGCGCCGTTATACCTTTCGGAAATGGCTCCAGCCAAATGGCGTGGCGCATTCAACACGGGCTTCCAATTTTTCCTATCGGTTGGAGTTCTTACCGCAGGCTGCATAAACTACGCCACCGCAACGCACACGTGGGGTTGGCGAGTCTCTCTTGGCCTCGCCGTCGTGCCTGCCACCGTTATGACAGTAGGTGCCATCCTCATAACTGACACCCCCAGCAGCTTGGTTCAACGCGGCAAAATAGACCAAGCCAGAAAGGCCTTGCGCAAAGTCAGAGGTTCCCACGTCGACGTTGAACCCGAGTTGGAAGAGCTTCAAGATTGGTCGCAAAATGCCAAATCTATGCAGCAGGAGCCCTTCATGACCATATTTGAGAGGCAGTATCGGCCTCACTTGCTCATGGCAATTCTTATCCCACTTTTTCAGCAGCTTACGGGCATCAACATTGTTGCCTTCTATTCACCCAACCTCTTTCAATCCGTCGGTTTCGGACACCACGCAGCTTTACTTTCTACCATCATAATTGGCCTTGTCAACCTTGCTTCTCTCCTCGTATCTACTTCTTTTGTTGATAAGTTTGGTCGAAGATTCCTGTTCATAACTGGTGGCGTTCTCATGCTTGTCTGTCAGGTAATTAAAACATGAGACAAAACTTAATTACAGTATTATAAATTGTTCCTGTGCTAGGATACACACTCCAATTATCCTTGTTGTAGCGAGTCAGGTCTTGGGTCAAAGGTCTCAGTCTCTTTGTTCCTTTCCGAATAGTCCGAAGTGTAGGGGGGGCCTGCAAAGACACTCCGACGCTCAAGTTAGTGGTCGGTGTAATAAATGCGGTAGGTGGCAAAAACTAACTACGTACCTCGTTGGGGCTCTATTTATAGGTGTTCATATTGGGTCGCGATTAAGGATTGGGCCCCGGAAAATTAGGGGGTTAATCCGATAGATTACGGTAATTAAGCTTTTCGTAATCATTCTGACAGATGCGCTGGCTTGGCCGACCACACCGAAACGTTTTAGTCGTGTACGAGTGGTCGGCGGGCACGGTTAATCGGACTAATTTCTGCGGGTTCGGCCCGGTCGGCCTTTTAAGTGTTCTGCCTGGTCGGCTACCATACGGTATACAACCCCCGCAGCGTCAAGGATGGGAAAGACGAAGACGGTACAAGAGTCATAGTTGTTGGGCTTAGGGAATAGGTGGATCTCGACAGGATTCATGCCGAGAACTCTGTTAGGCTGACGCCGTGGTTGAGGACTCAGAAACGTGAGGTCTGGGCGAGATTTCGGTTGGACGATGTCTAGGCCGAGGACTCAGGCGCGTGAGTTTTGGGCGAGCCCTCGGCTGGTTGATGCCTTGGCCGAGCAATCAAACGTGCAAGGCCTACGGGGGCTCGGTTGGACGATGTCTAGGCCGAGGACTCAGGCGCGTGAGTTTTGGGTGAGCCCTTGGCTGGTTGATGCCTTGGCCGAGCAATCAACGTGCAAGGTCTACGGGGGGCTCGGTTGGACGATGTCTAGGCCGAGGACTCAGGCGCGTGAGTTTTGGGTGAGCCCTTGGTTGGTTGATGCCTTGGCCGATCAATCAACGTGCAAGGTCTACGGGGGGCTCGGTTGGACGATGTCTAGGCCGAGGACTCAGGCGCGTGAGTTTTGGGTGAGCCCTTGGCTGGTTGATGCCTTGGCCGATCAATCAAACGTGCAGGGTCTACGGGGGGCTCGGTTAATCGGACTAATTTCTGCGGGTTCGGCCCGGGTTGGACGATGTCTAGGCCGAAGACTCAGGTGTGCAAGGTTTGAGATAATTCTCGGTTGGTTGTTGGCTTGGCCGAGGACTCCACCGCGCGAGGTCTAGGCGAGCCCTCTGTTGGGTGGTGTATGAACCGAGACCACCAGTAGTTGGAACCGGTGCCTTAACCTCGGTAGGCTTGGCGTGCCATGTTGGCCCTAGCGGTTACGGGCCCAACGGTTATCAAATCTGGACCGTTGGATGGTCCAGATCGAACGGTTAGGGTTTTGGGGCGTCTTTTCACCTCCTATGTTTACCTTACCTATAAATAGGATGAGGGGGCACTACAAGAAAAATGTAAATTTTCGATGAAAATTTTTTGACGGATATGATTTCGTCGGAAATTTCCGACGGATTTATATTTCCGTAAGAAATTTCTAATGAAATTTTCCGTCAAAAATTTTTCGTCGGAAATTTCTGACAGAAATATAAATCCGTCAGAAATTTCTGATAGAAACTTTTTGACGGAAAATTCTGTCAGAAATTTCTGAGGAAAAATAATTTCGTCAGAAATTTCTAACGGAAAATTTTCGATCTGAGGAAAATTAGAACCTTCCTGATGGAGACCTCCCTTCCATGGTTGATAGTGATGTGATGAAGAGAGTCACCTTACCCATGATCTAGGTTCACCAAAGGGAAAGTGATTGGGGGGTGTTTAAGGTGGGATTGTTTTGGACGTGAAAATAGAGGTGAGATGGTGAAGGGTGGCAGAAGTTTATGGTGCTCAAAGGTTGGCTCACTCCAAGTGAAGGTGGAGGCCACTCTAGGGTTTCACTCTCCAAGGGTGGAGAATGAAGGGGTTAGCCGAAGTTAACTTAGTGACTAAGGATGGGATTTTGAGGCATAAAATGCTCACTCAATATCATATAATCCAAAGTATTTACAAGGTGCGGTGCATTGGGTATTTATAGGAGGGGAGGCATCTAGGGTTGCATTTGGTGGATGCATGGCCGAAATTCACAAGGCAAATGCACTCCAAATGAGATGCAAATTAACCCTAGATGCAACTTGGTGACCAAGGATGGAATCTTTGGGTTTAGATTGGCTATATCTAGGTGCATGATAAGACCATGCAACCTTTGCCCTCCACTTGGGCCTAAGCCTTTCTAATACCAAAAATAGGTCCAAGAACACCAAAAAATGCATCACCTCCTATTTTAAAACGCTAGCCCAAAATTAAAACCCTAATCATCTAGAGCACCCCATAATACAAGGATAAAATGGGAAATACAAAAGAAAATAAATTCTAAAAGTCCTAAACACCCCAAAATACAAGGGTAAAATTGGAAAATAAAATAAACCCTATACTAATGAGGCTAGGAGAGAACTAATACTCTATGATCATGAGGAGAGTGTCCCTTGGTGTGTGAGCTCCCTCCTCCTCTTCAACTCTCCTAGCCATGGACCTAGTGATGGGGCCCACATGTGTCCTCAAGGATGGTCCTCCATCACCCCCTCCTTCTTGAGAAGCATCTGTCCTCAGATTAGAATCTTCATCCAAATCCTCAACTCCTAAAAATGGTGTGAGATCACATACATTAAAAGAT